CTTATATCTCAAGAATGGCTGGACCGATTTTGACAAATTTTGTCAATTCAGAATGCCCTCTTGGCATAAAAGAATAAAATTAAAAAAAAATCGTATAAAAAGATGGAAATAATGATTTAAATATAGATTTTGTAGTATTTTGTGACATTCTTTTATTTTTTCATATCTTTTATCGCATGCGATTTTTTTTCAATTTGCTATAATATTAAAGTGTATGTTTTGCAATATTTTTTCACCTTACAACACAGGTTAGGGCTATTAGATACAGATAGCAATTATCGTCCGATCCTCACGAAAATGTTCACAATGGTAGAGTTAGGCTCAGAAGGGCTAGGCCTATTGTTTTCAAAGCTGCCTGCAAAATATATTTAGAGGTTGAAATGGATCAAAAACAAGTTAAAAAGTATCAGTCGGTATTGCCGCCAGAGATATACCCTCAGCCTATGTTCGATTATCTAAATATATTTTGACTAGTGTTAAGGTTATTCAAACGTTTGACCCTCTATGGAGCAGATCCCGAAGGAATGGGCCAAAAGATGATATAAATATTTCGACAGATGTGCCAAGTCTAAATGGAATCGGATGTTAATTTGGCGATTTATGAGCTTCATGGGTACTCAAAATTTCAATATTTTGTGGGGGAGGTACTTGATGGAGTGGACCGATATTGTCAATTTTCACACCTGTCCTAGCACTGACGCAAATATTAGGATTCGCAAAGTCGGAGCAAATTCGGATTAGCCTTTATTTTTCTGTGCAAAAAATTTGTTTTTTTTTTTTTTGAAAATTTCGACCTTTTGTGGGGGAGGTACCAGAAGGAGTGGGCCGATATTGTTCATCTTAACACAACACCTTGGGTTAATATAAATATTGGAATGTGTGAAATTTGAAGACAGTCGGACTCTTACATAACATTTTATGAGAGTTGTAATTATTCAAAATTTTGACCATTTGTGGGGGAGGTATTTGATGGAGTGGACCGATATTGCCCATTTTCACACCTGACCTAGCACTGACGCAAATATTAGGATTTGCAAAGTTGGAGCAAATTTGGATTATCCTTTCTCTTCCTGTGCAAAAAATATATTTTTTGAAAATTTCGACCTTTTGTGGGGGAGGTACCAGAAGGAGTGGACCGATATTGCCCATCTCCGAACTCGATCTAAGTTTGATAAAAATATTACGTTGTAGCCAATTTGGACCAAATCGGATACTCCCTTCGAGAGTTATCGTGCGCACCAGCCAGCCAGACAGACAGACGGACGGACGGACGGACATCGCTAGATCGTCTCCAAATGTTCTGAAACGGATTTGGTCCAAAGAGACCTAGGGTCTAAAACCGTTATTTCGACTAGGCACGTTTTGGCCGTATCAAATGATATATACCCTCTGTAGCCATATGGCTGAGGGTATAACCAGAAATGTTGCTGATATTGTAGTCGTTATAAAGTTCACAAATAGAAACCAAAGGACCCGAAATCTCGCATGAAGTTAGAGTTTAGGACAGCGGGTAGAATGGACTACTACTTTTGTGTAAAAAACCAATATTACTTACATATGATATCCGAAATACACAAAAGACGAACTTCTGGTTTTTTATACCCTCAGCCATATGGCTACAGAGGGTATATATCATTTGATACGGCCAAAACGTGCCTAGTCGAAATAACGGTTTTAGACCCTAGGTCTCTTTGGACCAAATCCGTTTCAGAACATTTGGATTCGATCTAGCGATGTCCGTCCGTCCGTCCGTCTGTCTGTCTGTCTGGCTGGCTGGTGCGCACGATAACTCTCGAAGGGAGTATCCGATTTGGTCCAAATTGGCTACAACGTAATATTTTTGTCAAACTTAGATCGAGTTCGGAGATGGGCAATATCGGTCCACTCCTTCTGGTACCTCCCCCACAAAAGGTCGAAATTTTCAAAAAATATATTTTTTGCACAGGAAGTGAATGGATAATCCGAATTTGCTCCAACTTTGCAAATCCTAATATTTGGGTCAGTGCTAGGTCAGGTGTGAAAATGGGCAATATCGGCCCACTCCATCAAGTACCTCCTCCACAAATGGTCAAAATTTTGAATAATTACAACTCTCATAAAATGTTATGTAAGAGTCCGATTGTCTTCAAATTTCACACATCCCAATATTTATATTAACCCAAGGTCTGGTGTTAAGATGAACAATATCGGTCCACTCCTTCTGGTACCTGCCCCACAAAAGGTCCAAATGTTCAAAAATATATTCTTTGCACAGAAAGAGAAAGGATAATCCGAATTTGCTCCGACTTTGCGAATCCTAATATTTGCGTCAGTGCTAGGACAGGTGTTAAAATGGACAATATCGGTCCACTCCATCAAGTACCTCCCCCACAAAATATTGAAATTTTGAGTACCCATGAAGCTCATAAATCGCCAAATTAACATCCGATTCCATTTAGACTTGGCACATCTGTCGAAATATTTATATCATATTTTGGGTCCGATAGGAAATGGGCAATATTGGCCCATTCCTTCGGGATCTGCTCCATAGAGGGTCAAACCTTTGAATAACCTTAACACTAGTCAAAATATATTTAGATAATCGAACATAGGCTGAGGGTATATCTCTGGCGGCAATACCGACTGATACTTTTTAACTTGTTTTAAGTTGATTTCATTGACAAATACAGTCAAATATCGTAGACAAGCAAATTATATAGATGAGTCTAAATTTGGAGATACAGAGGGGCCTCTTGATTCTGGAGAGGATCGCAAAATATTTAGAAATTCCTGATTACACAATTGAAGCCAATCGACACGCCTGAGAAGAGGGTTAGGGACAGGGAAGAATTCTAGCATTTTGGATGACCAATGGATTATATTTAATAGGTAAAATGGGCCTAAGCAACTAACAGAACTATCGAGTTCGTAAATATTTGGAAAATATCCCTGGTCAAAATGCTAAGGGTAATATCTAGGCAGTGCTCCGTGACATAATTTCAAAAGCAAAATCTTCCAAAATGGATTCAGACATAAGGGAGCTTCTAACATATTGTATTTTAGGGCATCGCATGCTCGGCCCTGCACGACTATAGCCATTGTTTATTTGTTTTGTTTTTATACCCTCCACCATACTATGGAGGGTATATTCATTTTGTTATTCCGTTTGTAACTCATCGAAATAATGATCTTAGACCCAACAAAGTATATATATTCTTGATCAGCGTAAAATTCTAAGGGGATTTAGCCATGTCCGTCTGTCTGTCTGTCTGTCTGTTTGTCTCTCTCTCTCTGTCCGTCTGTCTATTGTAATCACGCTATCTTTCGAACGAATTGAGATAGGAGGCTAAAATCTTGCACACATGCCTATTTTGCCAGTAGGCAGGTTATGTTCGTAAATGGGCCATGTAGGTGCACGTTTTTACATATCCCCCATACAACGGTATCTCCTGATATTCGGTATTTTGATGATTTTAGCGACATTATTCACCAGAATTGTTTTATATTTGGCATTTGAAGTTCGTAATGGATATTACAGCCTGAGACAGACAATTGCCTGTGCAAGTCCACGTCTTCGCCCCCATATAACGATACCTCCCGATATTCGGTAGTTTGGTGATTTTAGCGTCATTATTCACCGGAGTAGCTTCAAATTACGTATTTAGAGTTCGTAAAGGGGAACTTCAGTCTGTGACACAAAAATTTTTATGCAGGTTCAGGTCTTCGTATATGCCCCATATTTCAGTAGCTCCCTATATTCGGTATTTCGACAATTTTAGGTAAAATACTCACCGAAATTGTTTGAGATGTCGTATTTGAAGTTCGTAATTGATGTTACAGCCTGTGACAGAAAATTTTCTATGCAGGTCCAGGTCCAGCTCCGGATGTTAACCTCCCTATATAAGGTATTTTGAAGATGCTACATTATATGGTAATGGCTTATAACAAACAATGCCTATGAGGGCCACCGTGGTATAGACCCCAATTTAACGGCTATATTCGGTAATTTTTATAATTTTTAAAGGATTTTATTTCTTGGAAATTTCCAAATTCCTTCCAAATGGTGGAGGGTATTCAAAGCTCGGTCGGGCCGAACCTACTGCTTTTTAACTTGTTATTCATTATTTTTTTTCAATTCTTAAATTGCCACAGAAAAGCCGCCTCTTTTTTTTCACCCATTTATGCTGTTCGTATTTCGTTTTCCGGATATTTGAAACAAGAAAAAATATTCGATAACAGCCAAGTGTGACGTTCGTAGGTGGGTAGTTTTTGAACTGGATTTTGTGTCTAATTTATGAAATAGAACTTTAAAATACAATATTGTGGAATATTAGTTTGAAATTGAAATTATTATACCGCCAGATCAACATCAACAAAATGTGCTCTTCTTAGTGATGTTTAATTCTGAATTAAAATGCGAAAATAAAAGGAAAAAAAATAATTTTAGTTTTTTGGAACTAAAAGTGGTTACTTGTTCTGCGTGACTGAGCGAGCTGGTATGGCTCGATTTATGCGTCTGCTTGGGTTGTGGTCATCGGTTTTGTTGTCGCCCATTCTGTGTTTTATTATTTATTTATTTTTTTTTTTTTTTTGTTTTGGGCGACAACAAAAAAATCGTTATGATGTTTAGATGCTAGCTAGTCGCGGCTGCGTCAGCAAGCAGCAGCAACAACAGCTTGTTTTAAACAGGGCGACAAGTTATGGTTGGCGATGTTCTGTCGTAGCTTGATGTTGTTGTTCGCTTTTTTTTGGTAGCAGCAAAGGGGGCTATGCTAAGAATTAAAAAGTTGTTGTGGAAGATGATGATGTTCGTCGTCTTCGTCTCCATCATCATTATCATCGTCATGATCATCATCACCAACAACACTTTGGCAGCATTAAAATAATGATGATTATCATGTTTCGTTTGTGCGTTTTTCACAGCAAGCGCTTCTCACTCACTGTAACATCCTTAGTTCGAGTTTTTAAGATTATTTTTTTTTCTCTGGCGATATAAATAATTTCGCAATGGAGATTTCAAGCACAGTCATTCGTCGGCTTTCATTCAGTGGATAGTTCACAGAGAGAACAGCCTCCAATACAATGGTAAGCAGAATATCAGCAGGATGATTCGGAATTTGGAAATCATATGAAACCTTGGATTACATTGATCTCCTCGACGTTCGTTACAAAAGTGGATTACCTGAAAACATTAGCAACGACTTGTTGCCATCAAAAGCCATCAATTCAATTGGAATAATCGTTTTTTTTTTTTTTCGTTTTTCTTTTGCCAAATTTCAGAAACTTTTATTGGTTTTGGCCCTCGTGGCATTTGTTAGTGCTGATGTAAAGCACTTGTTTGATAGCAGCGACAATTTGAAAGCAGATGGTTACGTTTACCCAACACCCAAGGTGCCCTTCGGCACTACCCGGAAACCAACTACACCAAAGGCTACTGTGAGGTCTAATGATCCAGTAACTAAGAAGCCTAAGGGTTATGACTACCCTAAACCCGAAATTGTTTTCCCGCCAGTCGTCAAACCACCAACTCCAGTTGTGACCAAGAGCCCCCCAAAACCCCGGGTAACCACCCCCAAACCCGTCAACAAAAATTACTTGCCACCTGAAGTCAAGCCACCAACTCCAGTTGTGACCAAGAGCCCCCCAAAACCCCGGGTAACCACCCCCAAACCCGTCAACAAAAATTACTTGCCACCTGAGGTCAAGCCACCAACTCCAGTTGTGACCAAGAAAACCCCAAAACCCACTCCACCAGCCCCCAAAACGACAGCTCCTACGAAGCCTGTGAAGCCTACAGGTTACGACTACCCTAAGCCCGAAATTGTTTTTCCACCAGTCGTCAAGCCACCAACTCCACTTGTGACCAAGAGCCCCCCAAAGCCTACGCCCAAGATTAACACCCCCAAACCTAAGCCAACCACCCCCAAACCCGTCGACAGAACTTACTTGCCACCTGATGTAAAGCCCGCACCTCCAGTTGTGACCAAGAGCCCCCCAAAGCCCACGCCCAAGGTTACCACCCCCAAACCTAAGCCAACCACCCCCAAACCCGTCGACAGAACTTACTTGCCACCTGATGTAAAGCCCCCACGTCCAGTTGTGACCAAGAGCCCCCCAAAGCCCACGCCCAAGGTTACCACCCCCAAACCTAAGCCAACCACCCCCAAACCTAAGCCAACCACCCCCAAACCCGTCGACAGAACTTACTTGCCACCTGATGTAAAGCCCCCACGTCCAGTTGTGACCAAGAGCCCCCCAAAGCCCACGCCCAAGGTTACCACCCCCAAACCCGTCGACAGAACTTACTTGCCACCTGATGTAAAGCCCGCCACTCCAGTTGTTCCCAAACCCGTTACCAAGGCTCCCACACCCAAACCCAAACCCGTCACCAAGGCTCCCACACCCAAACCCAAACCCGTCACCAAGGCTCCCGCACCCAAACCCAAACCCGTCACCAAGGCTCCCGCACCCAAGACACCCGCTCCCGAATATCTCCCCCCAAAGGAAGGCTACGTCTATCCCAACAATCCCCAACCCCCCTTCATATTCTAAGTCCTCAAAACTGTGAGCCACCAACAGCACAGCCAAGCACTTTGATGTGCCAATAGTCGAACAAATTTATTACATTTATTGCATAGTTTAAGCGCCCCTGTTTTTTCTTTATATAATAATAATAATAATGATAATAATATTTTTTTTTATAAATATTTAAATTGTTTACAAAAAAAAAAAAACACAAACGAGAATAATGCCATATTGTTTTGATGCTAAACGGTTTTAGAACAAAGTAACGGATTTTTTGGTATCTTTTCTATGCAAAGAACCAAACAAATCGAAGAAGAAAAACATCGAAAAATAAAGAAATTATTAAAAAAAAACATTAACAATGGTCTTAGTCTTATTTATCTGAATTTATTTATTTGAAAAATGTAAGAAATATTGGAACTTTCCAAAATGTACCTTCTTTTAGAGTGTAAAATATAAATGCTATAATTTGCAGATATTTAAGAGAAAGACTTCAAGTCCCTTTCGGAAAGCTTTCGCTTCAAAACATCATAGTTTTTATTTTTATTTCCTTGTTCACTTCACGCAAATCTCCTCAGTCTCGAGGCTAGAAGAAAACAAAAAAGCCAAAAAAATATAAAAATGGAAAATTGCTTAAAAAAGAAACATCGAAAAAAACCAACTGAACTGGTTTCTCAGACCTCTGATCACCAAAAAAAAAAAAAAAAAAACGGCAAATTAAATTAGCTCAATTTAATGTTTTAAAACAACACACAAATTCTTTTCCCATTGCATAATATTAAAATAACGCTGACGCTAAGGCTAAGCACCGGTTTTATGCTATTTCTATATTTCGAGATTAGATTAAAACAAAAAACTATGTGAGTCTGGTTCCGAAGAAAACAAAAGTGAAAGGAATCTTCAATAACTTTCATTATACCATACATCACATAGTGGTAAAGGTATTATTATACCCTACATCACATAGTGGTACCCTACAGCACATAGTACTTACTTACTTACTTAGCTGGCTCGAGACAGAACATTTGTTCCATAAGCCGAGTTTAGAAAAGATTTCCAGGCGCGTCGGTCTTGTGCGCAGTTTTTCCAATTTGAAAGACCATGTTCCGATATGTTGTCTTCTACTTGGTCTTTCCATCTAATTCTTGGCCTTCCCCTTCTGCGTGAACCATCAGTAGGCTCGCTCTTATATACCTTATGAGCTGGGCATCCTCATCCATTCGCACTACATGACCTAGCCACCGTAGTCGCTGCAGCTCGATACGTCTGACTATGTCGATGTCCGAGTATAGATGGTATAGCTCGTGGTTCATTCGACGTCGATATTCACCGTCGATGCAGATCGGCCCGTAGATCTTTCGGAGAATTTTTCTCTCAAACACTCCAAGCGCTGCCTCATCTGCTTGCGCAAGTACCCATGCTTCAGATCCATACAACAGCACGGGTAGTATCAGTGTCTTGTAGAGTGTGAGTTTGGTCTGGCGAGATGTGGCCTTGTTTCTGAACTGCTTACATAGACCATAGTAGCATCTATTGGCCAACACTATCCTTCTCCGAATCTCAAAACTGATGTCATTTGTTTTGTTTATGGCGGTACCGAGGTAGATAAAGTCACTAACTACCTCAAAACTGTAGTTTTCAAGTTCCACAGTTGGTCCGAGTCTACTGGACGTCTTGCGCGTTGATACTATCAGCTTGGTCTTCTCGCCATTTACTGCCAGACCCACTTTGGCAGACTCCTTCTCAGTTCGTTCAAAGGTGGATGTTACCGCTCTCAATGTCCGACCCATTATGTCGATGTCATCGGCGTAGGCGAGCAACATGTGTTGTTTGGTGTACAGAGTGCCATTTCTGTTCACCTTTGCATCTCGTATGACCTTTTCCAGCAGGATGTTAAATAGGTCACACGAGAGGCTGTCACCTTGTCGGAACCCTCGTTTGGTATTGAAGGGCTCCGAGAGGTCCTTTCCGACTCTAACTGCTGACCTTGTGCCAGTTAAAGTTATCCTGCATAGCCTTATTAATTTTGCAGGAATGCCGAACGCAGACATGGCTTTAAACACCTCTGAGCGAATAGGGCTGTCAAATGCGGCTTTATAGTCGACGAAGAGGTGGAATGTGTCGATATGTTTTTCTTGGGTCTTTTCCAGGATTTGGAGCAGAGTGAAAATCTGGTCTATGGTGCATTTGCCAGGTCTGAAGCCGCATTGGTATGGTCCAATAATGTCATTGACCATTGGCTTCAGTCGTTCACACAACACGCTGAAAAGCACTTTATACGCGATGGGAAGTAGACTGGTTCCTCTATAGTTGCCGCATATCGTCTTGTCTCCTTTTTTGTGAACGGGACACAGGATGCTGAGGTTCCAATCGTTGGGCATACATTCCTCTAGCCAAATTGCTCTAATCAGCTGATGCATGCTCCTAATCAGCTTTTGACCACCGGTCTTGAATAGTTCGGCTGACAAACCATCGGCACCTGCTGCATTGTTATTCTTCAGCCGATTGATTGCTATTCTGACCTCATCTTGGCTAGGTGGTGTACACTCTATACCGTCATCTCTTATTGGTTCTACGGTATCTTCTTCACCGCCATTATTTGATACCAGAAGCTTTGCAAAATGCTCCTTCCAGATCCTCAACACGCTATCTGTATCTGTCACCAGATTTCCTTCTTCATCTCTACAGGAGGATGTGCCTGCACCAAAGCCTTCGGTTTGGTGTTTTACTCTTTGGTAAAATTTCCGGACTTCATTCTGACTCCTGTACATCTCGATTTGCTCGCGCTCACGTTTTTCTTGTTCTTTCTTCTTTTTTTGATTTATGCATGTCAGTCCGTCCGTCCATGTATTTTTGAGAACAAAATGCAGCTCGCATTTATTATCCGATTGAGCTGGAATTTTCCAAACAACATTTGTTTGGCCCAAGGACGAAATTGGTGATAATCGGCTCCGAGATTTAGATATAGCTCCCATATATTTTCAACCGATTTTGGGTTAATTGTACACCAAATGGCCAATATAAAACCTGAATTTTGGTACATCCCACCGAATTTAGTACAGAAGCATGTACGTCAAATTTGGAGAAAATCTGTTCAGATATAGCTATAGCTCGCATATATATGATTCATCCAATTCGGTGTTTAGTTACTCACATGCGTAATAAGCACTTCACAAAAATGATATTTAGTACCAAATATCAGATATAGCCCAGAAATACATCTGCCAATTTTGATCAAGATCGATTCAGATTTGGATATAGCTCGCACATATATCTTCAACCGATTTCGGTTTAATTGTCCACCAAATGACCAATATCAGTCCAAAAGTCCTGAATTTTGGTACATCGGGCCAAATCCAGTCTAGAAGCAAGTACGTCGAATTCAGAGAAAATCGGTTCCGATATAGCTGTAGCCTCCATATATATATATATATATGTTCCATGCGATTTGGGTTTTTAAGCCCCTTACATGCGAAATATGCATTCGACAACCATAATATTTGGTACCAGATATCTTATAGAGCTCGGAAAGAAAATTTTATCGAGAACGGCTAAGATTTGGATGTAGCTACCATATACAGGGTGAGATGAAAAAACTGCAACAAAGTCAAACGCCATAATTTTTAAATATTTTCATTTTAAATGTATTGAATGAAAGCAAGAAACGTCGGAAATAGCATCAGATTTTTTTAGATTTGTTTGAATTGGTCACCTTTGGCACGAATTATGATCTTCAAACGGCCAATGAAACCATCACACGCTGATTGAATGTTGCTCTACGGTATTTTTGGCCCATTCCCAGCGGAACGCTTGCTTCAGGTAATCGACACTTTGGTATTTTTTAGTGCCAACTTTGCTTTCCAAAATACTCCAGACACAATAGTCCAACGGATTGATATCCGGAGATTTTTGTGGCCATTATGCGCTGGAAACGAAGCGAGGAACCTCATTTTGTAACCATTCTTGGGTGGCGCATGCTGTGTGCGATAGTTCTGAGTCCTGTAGAAATGTCTAAGGTCTGCGGCCAAAATGTTTGCGTGCCCAAGGCTTTAATATACCCTCCAGAATATTTTCGCTATAATATTCGGCATTTATTCTGATGCCACGGTCGACAAACACCATCACCATGGCCGGATGTTTGCATGCCCAAGGCTTTAATATACCCTCCAGAATAATTTAGCGATAATATTTGGCGTTTATTCTGATGCCACGGTCGACTAATACGAACGAAAAGCGGCCATCGACTGTAATGGCGGCCCACACCATCATCATGGCCGGCGATTGAGTTCTGGTGACCAACCGAAGGTGCACATTTTCAGCTGACCTCTTTGGTAAATACGATCATTTTGTTTGTTTACAAACTGCTGGACAACGAATGTTTTCTCGACGGAGAAAACCAAATTCGGCAGTTCACCACTTTCAGCCAAGCGAACTCTTTAGCTCTTTTGAGTCTTTCTTTCTTTCTTTGCGGTGTAAGTTCTTGCACTTTTTGGAATTTTGAATGGCTTTACCCCCAGTTCATTTTTAAATACTTGCCGAATGGAATATTGCGATGCATACGTTCAGCTCACGAGCCATGTTTCAGCCACTGCGACTTGGGTTTCGATCAAGTAGCTTCTTTAATTTTCGAAGCATTTTTGCTGATGTTGCTGTTTTCTTCCGTCCACTTCCTTGACGTCGAGCTACGCTAACGAGCGATGGCACGAAGCACAAAAGTTTTATTCACATTTAAATGCTGGAGTGCTCTAACGATAGCCACTTGTGGTTTTCCAGCCAAGTATTACGAAATTACACTATCACGCTTGAATTCCATCACAAATAACTTTTTTCTTGAAAATTCTCCCCAAAATGCTTTTGTACGCTTGTAAACAATATAATGAGCTGTCACCGGAATAATTTTAACAGCTGTCGGAGTGGCTTAGAAATGCAGTTTTTTCATCTCATCCTCTATATATTCTTAATCCGCAGTTATTTGCATCTCACCCTGTATATATCCTTAATTCGATTTCAGGTTTATTGTGCAAATAATGGGTAATATCATCCCAAATGGAGTGAATTTCGGGACAAACGTTTCCATTTAGTGGAACTTGGATCCGATCTCTGAAACCAAATCATAACTGCTTTAAAGCCAAATGTGGGTAGGTGGTATAATCTACTTCAAAAAAATTCTTTTTACACGGGAGCTCTATTAATTATGCATAGTGGTGATCAAACTCCCACTCTCTTTGATAAAAATCATTCCACCAATCAAGTAACTTTCTCACCTAGACCACCATATTTAGACTCATTCTAAGCTTTATCCTATCGAAAAAACACCATATATAATAAAATACAATTCTGT